GGAGCATCCTGGGGCTGGCTRGGGGCACAGGGGGCACCCGGGGGTGTATAGGGGTTTATGGGGCACCCTGGGGCTCTATGGGGGCACATCGGTGTCCCAGGGGTACAGAGAAGCAGTATGGGGCATTTTGGGGGTGTATGGAGTCGCATGGGGGCCACTGGGGGTGCCTGGGCATGTATAGGGATGTAGGGGTTACCTTGGGGGTCTGTGGGGACACCGAGGGCACATGGGGCTGTATTGGGGCACACAGGCACCCCGGGGATGGGGGGTAATGGGGCACCCTGAGGGTGCCTGGGGTGATCAGGGGCAGTCCGTGGGACAAACTGGGGGGGTGGGTCATCCCAGAGCACAGAGGGGCACCCGAGGGGGCACGGGGCAGCCGGATGGCACCGTGGGGACATATGGGACACCCCTGGGTCCACGAGGCACCCTGAGGTCCCATGGAGCACTTTGGGGTGCATGCAGCAGTCAGGGGGTACATGTGGCACCCTAAGGACCTGTGAGGCACCCCGGGGTGCACCGGGCACCCTAAGGACGTGTGCCTCCCCCGCCCGGGGCTGTGGGGCAGGCGGGGGGAGGAGGAAGGGAGGAGGAGGAGGAGGGAGGAAGGGGCGGTGATGCCGGGCGGCTCTGCCTCCCCGCTGCCCCCGCCGCGCCCGCGGAGCGCACGGAGGGACCCGCACCGGCTCCCCAGGTACGGGACAGGGACGGGGACAGGGCCACCCCCTGAGGGGCTGCAGGGCCACCTCCGGGCAGGCGACACCCCCCTGGGCAGGGAACCTCCCCCCGCAAGGTACGACCTTCCCAGGTAGGGAACTGGGGCCACCCCCAGGTAGGGACCACCCCAGGTGCGGGATTGGGGACCCCCCAAAGAGGGGAGAGGGGACACCCCAAATGGGACACGGGACCCGCCAGGTGGTGGGATAAGGACCACAGAGCCATCCTGGGATGGGACAAGTGGACCAAGACCCACCCCCAAGGAGGGGACTGGGGACGCTCCCAGGGAGGGGACGGGGGGCTCCCTGGCAGGGGGTCACGGAGGGCCACCGCCCCATAGGGGACAGGGCACGCCCAGGTAGGGGAAGGGGGCTGTGGGGCTGCACGGCGGGAGACCGGGGATAAGTGAGAGGGACTGCAAGGCCACCCCCAGGTCAGGGACAAGGGGACAGTGGGACCACTGGACAGGGGAGACAAAGGGACCAAGCACTCTGTCCCCCCACCCCATCGCTTTTTCCTTGGGCATCCTCGCAGCACCCTCCCAGAGGTCCCTGGGGCAGGAAACAGAGTTGGGGGACAGCTGGAAAGAGCTGTGCCCCATCCCAATTCTGGGGGCGTGAGGATGCTCCAAAAGTGGCCCCTCATCGATCCCACCTCAGTCCCCACCCCAGGAGATTTTGGGGAAGCCAGGGGGGCCTTTCCTAATGTGGCCTCAGCCACCCCAAACCAGGATGGAGCTACGTGGGGAGGGGTGGGAACCCCATAAAAAAGGGGGCAGGACCCCCATTACTGCACCCCTGGAGCCTCCACCAGCCCGACGGCCCCTGTCTGGGGGGACCCGGGGGGTGCCGCCGTGGGGCTGCCAGGATCCCGTCAGCCCCGGCACAAAGAGGAATGCGACGAGCACATGGTTCCCATTAACCCCGGAGAAATCTTTTTTTTTCTTTCTTTCTTTTTTAGTGTTGGTTTTTTTTTTTTTAAGGTTATTCTTTTTTCCCCCTAATTTTCCGCAGCTCGGCTGGGGAGGAGGAAAAGCGGCAACTCTGGAGGGTGAGGATTTGGGCGAGGGCCGGCAGCGCCGGAGCCCGGCCGGGGTTTCGCCGGTGGGGAGAGAGGGGAGGAGAAAGAGAAGCGCTCGGGGTTCTTTTTCCTCTTTAATCCCTTCCCTGCTTGAGTCAGAGGCTGAAGTCACCGGCGGGAACATCCCGAAGCTGTTCCCCCACCTCGAGGGGAACTGGCTGCCCCCTGAGAGGATGTGCTGACCCCCATGAGCGGGATTCTGGGGGAGCGGAGCCGCATGAGAGCGGGCAACTCATCACACAGGTATTTATCAAGCTGCTGATTCACCTCAGGGGCAAATCCTGCTTCACCAATGCAGTGCCCTGGCTAAAGCCTCGGGGTTCCCCCCCTCCAAACCATTCCATTTGGGAAGGGGAAGCTTCGCCCCGGCTGTTTTTCCCATTGGGAAGTTGAAGAAACAGCCCTGTTCCTTCCTGAGCGGGGTTTATCGGGGTCGGGTGCATCCTGCTGGGGCTGTGCTCGGGGGCTGTGTCGGCGACAGGGATGTGGTCATTCATGGCACTGTGCCTCAGTTTCCCAAAAATAAAGGGGAAAAATTTCCTGGAAAAATAAAGGGGTTCCACTGAGCTGGAAGTGATTAGTTGGGAATTAGGGATAAGGAGGGAGGGAACGGGGATGTAGAGACACTCCAAAAAAGGGGTTGCAAAGGCAAAGTCCTATGGCAACCCCATTTTTAAGAGGAAAGGTGGGGTTTTTCCTGCTGCCCACAGGGAGTGTAATCCCAGGTGGGAGCAATAAGAGGAAATAAAGGGGGTTAAAACACTTATAAAAGGGAGGGATTTGGCCACAGAGGCGTGAAAATGGGAGATTCCAGCTGCTGCTTCCCCAGGACCCTTTGCCCTGTGTCCTCCCAGGCACGAGACCTTTTACTGCCGTGACGTGGGACGGGGACGGTCGCTCCTTCTCCCTTTCCGGCAGGAGGGAGGCGGGTTGATGCCGAAGGGCAGCACGGCTGCAGGAGCTGCTGGTGCGCCTGGGAGCTTTATCTTATTTTCCCTAAAATCAACCCCAGGTCCGGCCCTTCCGCGGCTCCAGGGATGCTGCCAGGGAAGGCAGAGAAGAGGATGGCTTCATCCATCTTCATCACTCTGGTGCCACCACGGAGGGACGTGGCCACCAAGGAGAAAACCCACGAGGAGCCACAGCCAGAGTGCGCCGAGGTCCCCGGCACCCACTGCCCCCGGATCCCATCGTCACCCCCCACGCTGCCCAAAGGAGGTGAGGGGTGTCCACGGGGGGCTGCGAGCGGTGCCGAGAGGATGATGATGGTGCTGAGGATGCTGTGGAGACGCTTTGCTAAAGGACACGCAGGCAGGAGGGGGGGTGGGGTTTTTTTGGGAGTTATTCCCAAAATCCCTGCACCCATCCCGGGATGGATCCGGCTGGCAGGGAAGGGCTGTGTTTGCTCTCCATTGCCGGGCACTTATCGGTGCTGTTTGTCCCCTCTGTCCGGGATGGCGTTTGCTTTTGGGGCAGGTCAGCGAGCGCTGCTGCAAAGCTGTTGGGGCGTTACTGTGACAGGGCGTTACTGTGACAGGGCATTACCATGGGGTGGGACATTATCGCTCCCCTAAACCCCCCCCATCTGTCTTTCGCTGCAGAAACCCACCCAACTGTGCCTGTGTCTTCATTCCCGCCGGTCCTCATCCTCTCTGAAGCCCCCCAGCCCTTGTCCGCGGAGTCACTGTGTCCGGCACTGCAGCAACTGGACCTTGCGGCACCCACCACCCTCCAGGTGAGGATAATGGGGTGCAGACCCCCCAGTGCCTCAGTTTCCCCACCTGCAGGAGCATAAATAATGTGGCTTCACCTTCCCCTGCTTTCCAGGCCCCTTCTGAATTAAAGCCGCCCAAACTTTGCCAGGAGCAAGTGGACAAGCTGCAGCGGCAGGATGCGAACGGGTACCCGGAGCGGGACGGCTCCAGAGGTAAGGGGGACAAAGCCGTGCATGGGCTCATCCCGAGTTAGGGAGACTGAGTCAGGCAGCTCCAAACCCCTGTCCCTGCTTCCCACAGACATCTGTGCCTTCTGCCACAAAGCACTGGGGCCACGGGAGCCGACGGTGGAGGCGATGCGGAAGCAGTACCACCCCGGCTGCTTCACCTGCCGCACGTGCCAGCGGCTCCTGGCCGGGCAGCGCTACTTCCAGAGGGATGGGCAGCCCATGTGTGACACCTGCTACCAGGTACCATCCTCTCTTGGGGACAGCCAGCACCCTCGGGGTGGGAGCTGGCATCTCACGCCGTGTGTTCCCTGAATCCCAGGCCACGCTGGAGAAATGTGCCAAGTGCCAGGGGCTGATCACGGAGCGCATCGTCCGTGCCCTGGGCAAGGGTTTCCACCCCGGCTGCTTCTCCTGCGCCGGCTGCGGCCGCGCCATCGGCGCCGAGAGCTTTGCCGTGGACGAGCAGGGCGACGTGTACTGCGTGCCCGACTTCTACAGGTTGGCAACGGGGGAGCGTCCCCCAGCTTGGAGCTGGGGTTTGGGAGCTGGGGTCTGGCTGTCCCCGTCACCCCACAGGGTTCACACCACTGCTGCTTGCCCCTGCCAGGAAATATGCCGCGGTTTGCAGCGCCTGCCAGCGCCCCATCGTCCCCTCTGAGGACAAGGACACCTACAAGATCGAGTGCCTGGGACGCAGCTTCCACGAGAGCTGCTACCGCTGCGAGGTACAGCCCTGGCGGGGCTGGGGGCCCCCAAAGCCGAGGGGGGGGCACTGAGCCTTGGCTGGCACAGGGTCCACAGCCCCCGGGGTTATTTGTTATCCCACAGTTTATCTTGTAAGCGATGGGGAGGGGGAAATAAATCAATCAATCAGGTGGTGGTGGTGATGATGTACCTGGAGGAGACCTTCGGCTTCGCAGGATTTTGATGTAGTTTGTGCTTTTTCCAAGCGCTGGTGGGTTTTGCAGGAAAACGGGATGTGATGCAACGTGAGGACCCCCTAAAACATGTTGTCCCTTTCCCCTCTCACCCCCAGAGCTGTGGGACGCCACTGTCCCCAGAGCTGACGGAGGACGGGTGCTACCCCCTGGACAGCCACCTCCTCTGCAAGTCCTGCCACGTCCGCTGGCGGAACGAGTCGTCCTGCTGAGACCCCGTGCCTCATCCATCTCTGTCTTCCAGTGCCAGCCACCAGAAAGGGGGTGTTTTGAGGGTGACCCTGGGTGTCTGCTGCACCTCAAAATTCCTGCAGAACTGGTGTTTTCATCTCCAGAATGTACCTGGGACCCCGACACCCAGGGCTGGCCAGGGGAGCAGCGTGGATGTGTCCCGACACAGCTCTGCGCTCACCATGAACATGAAATGCCCTCACAGAGCAGCAACGGCAGAGCAGAAGTTTTATTCTTTATTTCTTTTTTAAAACTCCTTCTTCAAGGCCAGTTTGGTTTTCTTGGGTGTTTTTTCTTCCTTCTTGAGCTTCTTTGGGGTTTCACTGAAATATTTCTCTCTGTAGAGAGTGGGCACTGATTTAGTTACTCGCAGTTAAATAAAACCCCGAGTCTAAAAACTCTCATTCCTTTCATCCGCCCTGCATTCCAAACCTATCAAATCTGAGTTTAAAAATAAGGGAAAAAAGCCACTTTTTGGATTTTATAGGCGTGGCAAGTCAGGTCATTCAGGTCCATAACAGTTGATTTTGGGGTACGGCTATTTGGCAGATGCCACTGTCAGCCGGGGGAGAGCCAAGGTTGTTTTTTGGGAGTGTACTTGAGATTTGGTGATTTCATGGTGTTGATAAAAGGGTTTTAGGTGGTGATTTGGGGTTTTTTTGCTGGCTGTCTGTCCTGGAGCCGGCAGAGGGCAGCTGGAGCACAAATTCCTCCATCAGGCAGCAAAACTCCAGCTAAATGCATCCAACGGCCCCATTTCTGCACGTTTTTCGAGATAATACCACTCTGTCATCGGAAACTTTTTGATCTTCTCTTAGTCCAAGCCCCAAACCAGCAGAAATTAGACCCTTTCTCTGCACATCCAACATCTGCACAACCGATGTTGCCGGTGCTCAGTGGTTTTGTTCGTGAGGGCGTTGCAAACCAGGCGGAGAAACATCTCAACTTTCTTTTTAACTGAAAGTGCTTAAAAAGCCACAAATAGAGAGCAGAAAATAGCAAGAGCATGGGAGATGATGTTTAATGCTTTCCTGATGGAAAGAGGGAGCTGTAAACAAAGAAAACCACCACCAGAGCAGCAGCTCTAGGCTCCTGGTAACCTCCGACATCTCTCCCGTGTGCTGTATTTATGAATGAAGGGGTTAATGATGGTTAATTAATCACATCAACAACTATTTCCTGATGACTCTTCCCAGTCTACAAAGCTGATTACTCAGCATTCATTAACGAGCGTCTCCAGCCCATCAATCAGCTCATAACTCGCTATAAACAAATTTATAAATAAGATGTTAAAGTTGCGGTTTGTCCCGGTCACGTAAGTTGGTGGCTTTGGGTTTCGTTGGGCAGGAACCTCGTGTCCCATGCCAGGGAATTCCCGTGCTCAAAGTCAGCTCTCTCTCTTTCCAAAGTTTGTCATTCTGTGGAGAAAACCAGGCATCAAAATGATGCTAAAAAAAAGTAAAAAGATGTGGTGGTGGCCAAAGGGAGCAGGAAAGGGAAGACCCAGGAGTTGCTTGGTTTTGTGCAATAAGGGTATTTTTCCAAGCAAGGTTTTTGGGGAGGATGGAAGTGCTGACGCTGAGAGGTGTTTTGGATGTGTTATTCCAAGCTGTGCTATCCCTCCACAGAGGAATGGTGGGAAGAGGTTGGATATTTCCCCCACAAAGCAACCCAGGATGCACTGTTGGCAGTGGGACTGCGGTGAGTTTTGGCTGGAGGGAGGCAGGGAAATGCTTTTATTGACATGAAGCCTTGGAGAAGGTCCTGGAAAGCGAGGAGAAAGGAAAGGCACAACTGGAGAGTTTGGCAGTGCAACAAATGGATGCAGAAATGGTCAGATTTGGCATGTTTTTCCCAGAGCGGAGGATGACAAGGGACAGGGATGGATGGACACGGAGGTAAGAGGATAAAAGGCTGATTTAAGCCTTTTTCTTCCCCGATAAGAGGAGAAGTGTTACTAGCCGAGGCACAGGGAGCGTCACTATGGAAAGCACAACCTCGTGTTTTCCCTCGGGAGGATCTCGAGGAATTTCAAGCTGCGTGCAGGAGAGAGATCCTGCAGGGGTGAGGCTGCGGGAGCTGGATCCCATCCTGCTGCCAAGCAAACCCTCGCCGGCTGCGATGGCTCAGCCCACCCTTGAGCTGCTCACCCTGTCACGAGCACTTCTGCGAGTGCCCAGGTTTGCTGGCAAAAGTAAACTGAACACATCCCACGTGGAGCAATAGGATTTTGGGGGGTTGGGATTCCCCAAAACCTCGTGGAGCCCCCCAAGACCACCCAGATTTAAAAACCATTTGAGGTCTCTCATCCCAGTGGCAGTGGACAAGGGCAGAGAGGATCCCAGCCCTCTGAACGCCACTGGCTGGGCCCTGCCCTTCCCTCGGCAGCTGGAATAAGCCCGGCAGTCCTTGCAATCCCTCTTGGCAGGCTGAGGAGAGCGGGAAGGACCTGGCTGCCCTCCAAGGAGCAGCAAATGCAAATATTTCTTCACTCCAGGCTGGGTGCGGCTGCGGATAAAATTTCCTCGGGCTTTCCCAGCGAAGGTATCCGATATCCTACTCTGCTGCGAGGCCAAGTTGCTCCCGGGAATACAACGGTGCATCCCATAAGAAACCTCCAAAGATTATCCTTCTTGCAACTTGGACTTTTAAAAAGAGGATTTAAATTAAATAAGGAGCTGCCAGGCATGGGTGTAGTGGTTTTAAATCAGTGGTTAAAGTGTGGCTTCGTAGCAAAAAAGACCTTTTTGCAGGTTTTGTTGGCAAATTGGAGATTTTTGGTGTGGCACGAGGAATGTGAGATGATAAAGGGAAAAGGCTGGAAAGTGCCTTTCCCCCCAGCATCCCCTTGGTCAGCTAAGAGAAATGGGAAAAGCAGAGGGAGGGATGAGCTGGAGAGGGAGGGATGAGTCATATTCCTTGTGTGCCTTTGCTGTGCCATCATGACTTCCAGGGTGCTGGGAAGGAGCTGGAGCAGAGGGAAACACTGCAGGAAGGGAAACTGCAGCTGAAACAGTGCCCAGGGCTTTGCTGGCTGGAAAAGGCGCTGGGAGCAGGGTTGGGTGCTGGTTTTCTCAAATAGGATGGAAAGAGCTACAGGAAAACAGGGGTTTTCCTTTGGATGTCCCAGGTTAATGCCAGCCACATCCCCGCTGGCTCGCTGCAGTAACATTCTTCCCCACAGAGTGTTCAGATCTATTTCCTGCACTTTCCTGTCACCAACACAACCTAAAAATCCAACATTTCTTAAATGAAAAGCAGTCTGATCCTGCTGGGTAAGAGAGACAAGGGAAAACCAGCAGGGATTATGTTGGGAGCAGCCAAGCCCTAGATTTCTCCGGCTTCATTATGCAGCACAGGTGGGATATCTATTAAAAAGAAGAAAAATGCAATATTCTAATATTCTCCTTCCCCCCCCCATTTTCCTTGCAAAAGTGAACCACCCACTGATGTAGTTTTAAAGCACATCAGTTTTGATAACACAAGGGGAAAAGGATGCAGACTGATGCGCAAGCGCGTTACCAGGCTGCAAGCGCTATTTATAAATAAGCAAGTGCTGCTTATTTATAAAAAAAAAAAAAACAAAAACAACAAACCAACAGATAAAAAGCCCAACCCACCCTATTTCTGAAAATAGACACACAGCACATGCCTGCAAATGGGGTTTTGTCATTTTGTATCCCAGATTTCCTTCATCATATCGGCAATTTACAGCATCCCGCAGCCTTATTTCCTGAAAATTAACAATTTTCACCCAGATTTGGCTTTGAGCAGTTTAAGTTACATCTTTATTTTGCTAGACTGTCCAGTAGAGCCTGTGAGGTGTTTTATTAAAAATCCCAGATATTTCTCGCAGAGGTTATCCTGTTTGTCAAGGCGGCTTATTGACTTTGGGGACTCATCACTGGGGAAAAAAAGGTGGAGGAGAAGGATGATGAGTATATAAATAATGGCAGCTTCAACCCCTGCAAAGGAGAAAAGCGGTGAAAAAGCAAAGAGTTAAGCATAAAATATATAATCAATATATCATATATAAACATATAATAATAATGTATCTCCTAATTCTCTGGGCAGCTAAACTTTCCCTTACAGCCCAGCCTGGGGAATATGCTTTAATCTCATTTATTGGATTGCTTCGTCCGAGGACGGATCTTGCTGAAGTGATCAGGCTCATGATGGCGTATTAAGGGCGACACGTTTTGTGAAGAAAAAGAGAAATAAA